GGCTGCCATTCAGTAAGGGCGCCATTTGGGCATACCAAGTAGCCGGGATTGTTAAAGCCATAGTTTAGATTGTTGTTGTTGCCGTAGTACATTGAAGGCAAGTTTGAACTTGAACCTGAAAAGAAATGGTTAGATAAAAGAGAGTAAAGAAGAACAAAGTGACTCAACTGTTCATCGGAGCAAGCCCTAGGTTCTGATTTTGAAAAGATGTCGAATCAACGGGAACAAAGTTTGGATTGTAGTTGGCCACAAATTGACCCGGATCGCAGTAAGTAATGCTGTTGTCATAGTAGTTGGCAGTTGAAACACCTTCTTGCAGTGGATAGCTGGAGCTGCCGTCCTGTGAGCAGTTGTAATCGTCAAAAACGTCAAGATCTAGGGGATCCATGTCGAAGCGGGCAAATAGAACCAGTGAGGAAGATGGAGGCGACGTGGTTTGCGGTTACAGAATGAGAAATGCTTTTCACGTTGGCCCTTAAATGGCAACCTGGTTAGTCACAGAGCTCGCCACCAACCGATTCACCTCTTTTCGTCATCGATTAGTCGGCCATGAGGTGGCATCAGTGTTTAGATATTACGGTAGATGGCGGAGCTCTCCAGTGGCAAGAATTTGAATTTGAATTTAAATTGAATAGCTCAATAGTGGTCGTGGACGTCTACAAACGGTCGTTGATTTAGGTTCTCGACGGGAGCGCATGGCTGGATTATGTGCGGCACAGCCATGTGCCATGCGCCATGTGCCATGTGCCAGAGTGGCTAGCAAAGTATGAGACAACAGTGACAGACTGATTAGGTGGCAGTGTGAATTTATTGTTANGATAGTGCTCGTGAACGTCTACAAACGGTCGTTGATTTAGGTTCTCGACGGGAGCGCAAGGCTGGATTGTGTGCGGCACAGCCATGTGCCATGTGCCATGTGCCAGAGTGGCTAGCAAAGTATGAGACAACAGTGACAGACTGATTAGGTGGCAGTGTGAATTTATTGTTACTGGTCACAAGTAGGGGACAATGAAAGTTCAAAAAATAAATACAGCTATTTACAGGCAGTCAAAGAGATGCATTCAAAGATTAGCGGTGGTGTGAGGCGTTCAGTGGCTAGCTGCCTTTGGTTGTGTGTGCTTGTGAGTGTGAGTGTTTGACTACTGACGAGTTGCTGGTAGCTGCTTGGGGAAGGGAAGAAGCAAAAAAAGGTAAAAAAGGGCAGTGATTTGGTGCAGAGAGTGAACCGGTGTAAACCGGGTTACAGTGGGCAGTGCCTCAATTCTCTGAGCACCACATGGCGCCAGACTAGTGTGTCGTCTTACAGCATGGCCAGCGATCAGTGTTGACCGACTCTAAGCGAGAGAGGCCCTTGACCTAGTCTGTTAGCGCACCGACAGCAATCAATGTCCAAGAGGAACAGAATGAGGGTGAGAAGGAGTTGTGAGCAATCAGTTTGAAGCTGAGCAAAGAGTTGGGGACAAGTAATGGCTCTACAGGCAAGAATTGGCGACAGAGAAAGGCCAGTGGAAAATGAGTCAGGCAGTGGAATGCGATGACAGTGATTTGATGAAGAGAGTGAGAAAGGGGAACATGGTAATGGCCAATTAAGGAAAAGGGTTGCAAAGTCCACCACTTGAGAGAGAGAGAGCGTCCAACTTGCAGACGGGCAGTGTCGAAGGTGCCAAGTGGCAATTAAAAAGTTGCAATAAATAATGGGTAAGCAGACAGTTTGCCGAGTGTGTCGTGCAAAATATGGCGGCAAAGAGTGCACTCAAAGTGCCACACTAGAGAGGTGATAATGAGCAGAAAGGAGGCAGGTGCGAATGTGACTTGTTTCCTGTGGCAAACAATTGTCCGTCGTCGGTAGCACTTATGGCTTTTCGCAGTCTACAAGAAAAGAAGGAGGGTGATTCGCACAGAGAGTGTGACCGTTTGAACGATGCAATGGCAACAAAACTTACAGCAAACTTGGCATCTGTCGTAGTCCTCGTCGCTGCTGTCAGTGCAGGAATCCACACCCGAACAGAGGATAGCAGTTGATCTGCAAATGTCAAACGTTGGTAACACTTGAGCATAAAACAAACAAAACTAACCTGCAAAGTTTATTGTCACATGTGAATGTTCCATTTGGGCAGGCCATGTGTGCTTCGGAAGAGAACATTTAATTAGTACTGAAAAAACAAAAAGCAGCAACCACAAATCTACTTACTACTTTCGCACACTGCCTCGTCCTCGTCTGAGCCGTCTTCTAGACAATCCACGATTCCATTGCAAAATGCATACTGTAGCATAAAGAGGTGACAATGTTTCACAAATGAATTGCAAATTCAGTAGCAGACCAACCTGAGGCACACATTGACCTGATTTGCACTGCCAGGCTTGCTTGTCACATGTGATTCCTGTGTGCCGGTANTGTTTCACAAATGTATTGAAAATTCACACTAGAGAGTAGCAGACCAACCTGAGGCACACATTGACCAGATTTGCACTGCCAGGCTTGCTTGTCACATGTGATTCCTGTGTGCCGGTAAACAAGGAAATGCCATTAGCAAGTGTCGGAGCAGACTGAATGACTTACCTTTGTGGCACCTGGACTCATCCTCGCCGTTCCGGCACTGCGATTGACCATCGCAAACCATTTTGCGCGGCAGACAGGTACCATCCGAATCGCATTGAAAGGCCTCTTTTGGGCAATCTAAAAAGCCATCATCAACGAAGACAGGTAGAAAGAAAAGAAAAAGGCGCAGAATACAATCAGTATCATTGTCAGAATTGGAATGGTATGAAATGAATATTTGCATAGACGCAGTCACTAATAGTTGTTTTCGCAAAAAGCTTTCTTTTATCCTCTTGTCATCAAACAGACAGTTTTACCCCTAATGAAGCATAAGAGTTGCTCTTCCTGAACTAGTTATTGAGCTAAATTCCCTTAGTCATCTCTAATTAAAATAGTTAACAACTTTTTGGGGGAACACTTTAAAGCAAAGCGCACTTACGATAGGGAATGCATTCGTCCTCGTCAGAACCATCATCGCATGAATTTCTGTCTCCATCGCACACAAAATACCAACTGACACATTGCCCGTTTCTACATTGAAAGGTGTCAGCGTGACAGCCTGAAAAATGTTGTTAAAATAAAATTCAACAGTCAATCAAAGAATTCTTACCAGTTTTTTGGGCACTGCACGTGGCTGACTTTTTCAAACAATCACAAAAGCCGTCAATGCATCTCGAGTATGGATCACGCATCTGACATTCAATGCTGCTGTTGCACCGTTTTCCCAGCGAGACTGCCAGTGCAGTGACCAGCTGGGCGCTATCATCTTGCAACTCGTCCTCTTCTATTTGATTCTGAACGCTTTGCTCTTCTACCAGTGATTAAAGGTGACAAGTAAGTACAAGCTCAGTGTTTCAGACTTTGTACCTGTAATACCTAGATGAAGCGGTTTCATCGTCGTTGTCGTTGTCGTCGTAGTGGTAGTTGTTGTGGTGGTCGTCGTCGTTGTTGGAACTGGATCACAGGACAGTTTGTCGTCTGTGGCACGAAAGCCATCACTACACTTACAGGTCCCGTTGTCGGTGCAGACTGAATTCGGTGTCACTTTCTCACAGTCATCGGCAGAAAAACACTTGCTGCCTAGTGCTACAAAACAAGATAATGACAATTAATGAAGCAGTTCTAGAACAAAATTAATTACTTGGAAAACACTGGTTCTCAGCTGACAGGTGATATCCGTTTGCACAACGACATTTGCCGTAGATGCGAGGAATAATATACTTGCACTGGGAGTACCTGTCACCCAACAGACACTGCTTCTCAGAGAGGCAAAAGTCGCCCGAACGAGCAGCTGAAAAAAAGAGAAAAAAAGAAAAAAGAATTTAGATTTGTTTAAAAATGTGTAAAAACGAATACAATTGACAATTTAGTTAATCATTAACAAGCTCAAACAAAGATGTCTCTACAATAATCGTGTGGTAAATTTATCATTGAGCACCATTAAACTTTCGGACAGCACTGAGCTGCCACTAAGCGTACCGCGCCAACCTTCTACTTTACGCTAATGAAAAGTCTGAATTGTTGAAAGCACCCTGCTGGTGTTTTAATTAGCAGCCATAAGAGATGTAAACTTACGTGGCAAGCATTTGTCGCGACGAAGAGGCAGGAAGTTGGACTTGCACTGACACAAGCCATCAGTGCACACCGAGTTTGGCACTTTGAGGGAGCACTGCTCGTCGACGGAGCAGGCAAAGCCGAGCAGAGATGCTGTAGAGGGAGATGAGATGCACTAGTTGATCGGTGGAAAGCTAACTCTCTACTTACCTGGCAGACACATTGTCGCATTGTAAAGGACGTAGTACGGCTGACAGGTGCACAGACGCTTGTCCCAGTCGCAGTGACTGTGTGGCACGAACAACAGACATTCCAGAGAATTGCGACAAGAAGTTCCAATCTTTAGGTCAGCAGACAGTGGACCTGCACAGTACCGAAAAAAACTTTTTAATCTTGAAAAAGTGAACCCCATTCTGAACACTTACCTAACCTGCGCCAGTAATTTACCGAGCTGACGTAATGGACCAATTGTAAAAAGGTCTTGAGATAAAAAAAGGCAGATGTTTAGAATGTATTGAGTAATAAATCAAAAAGCTGAAAATCAGCTGTAATTCACTTTGTCAGTTGATTAATAGTGTCCTTGATAGTATAGAGAAAAAGTGAGCAGCTGAAAACATTGCAATTATAAAACTCTTTTAACTTGATCATGATCAACAACCTTTTTTAAAAATCAAGCTAAATTTTCACAGCGTGCAAGATTAAAATACTTTTTAATTATTTAAAAGCAATTTATAATTTTACGTTGCACAAACTTGTCATTTACTTAATTAATGGGCAAAATCAACCCCATCACAGTCACTTATCATTTTTATGCAGTGCATCACAAAGATGTCATCACCTTTAAAAAATAATTGCCTCCCATGATTAGAATTTTGATTTATTTGCCAAGGTGTACATGCAGCTGTGTTGAATTTTTTCAATGAACTCGTTGAAACACTAATGACAGCAAAAATACTGTAATTCATAATATGACTAGTGTTTAAGCCACTAAACAGATAGAAAAGAGCAAAAACAAAACGGAAATAAAGAGCTCCTTGTGAATGATTCATAGAACTAGGTAGATGACTGTCGGAAAAAAAGTGCAATGCCACACACAGTAGTGGCAAAATGAGCGCTAGCTTTCTGGGCAACATCAATACTTAACAAATACTTNCGAAATAAAGAGCTCCTTGTGAATGATTCATAGAACTAGGTAGATGACTGTCGGAAAAAAAGTGCAATGCCACACACAGTAGTTGCAAAATGAGCGCTAGCTTTCTGGGCAACATCAATACTTAACAAATACTTAACTAAAGCTAATGCACTTGCTATGAAAGGATTACTTTGCAACAGAAAACACTACATCTCATTTTCATTAGCAGCGACTATCTATCAAGTTTAGGTTTCCATAAAACAAAAAAGTAGACCGAGTAAATAGTGAATTCTGATAATTAAAGTAATTGATAGACTGTTTTACTAAAAACAGCAAAAACTTGCTGACAAGCGCAGTGAGTGCTGTATTAATGAATACCCTTTTTTTAAAAAAGGAAGCAATGAATCAGTAATGGCGTTGTGTTTTGCGCCCCAGATCAAGTCTTTCTGGCCAATTTGTAATTATGGTAATTTAAAAGTCATTTATAATCATACGATTACCAAGGAGACATTGATTATCTCAAGAAAACGTAATTTGATTTTGATTTGTTTTACTTCTGCTTAAAAAATTCACACTGTGTTTTATAAACTAGTTTTTGTTAAATCAAAAAATTGCAAGCGTTTTTAGTAAAAAAATATTCTTTCCGTTAAATCAGTCAACAGATTAAACAACTATAAAAGAGTTTTTAAAACCACAGTTGTCATGTTATGACTTGTAATTAATAAAGATATGCCGTTAATGTGTTTATTTCTAAGATAAGTATCATTATCGTTGACGGCAACATTAGCGTGTTACGCTACTCCACATTACTTATAATCAGCTTAGACTTCACTTGATCGTTACGAGGCACCTGTGATTGGAGACTTTGATGCGCCTTTTTCCGCATAATCTAGAGGAGAACTTGAAGTAACGGTAGAGTTAAATATTGATGATTCAGCATTTTGGTCTTTTTGAAAGTTTTCTTTTTGTGTAAGAGCGTGATCGCAGAAAACCCAAGTGAGTCCTGAGATAATGGCCACAAAGTTGGGCAAGTTGTATAGCCAATCAAAGTTGACCGCATTCAGTTTTCGGTAGACAAGCAGAAAAGCGATGGTTGCCACAGCAAGTAAAACAACCGTCTTGTTACAGTAGGTAAAGTGACAGCAGATAAAGATGACACTTGCCATGTTCATTACTACTAAAAGCCAAGGGTATACTGGGGCAGAATTTGCTGATGACTGGGGGTGCATCTTTGCCTCCATGTTGACACTCGCTTTGTCTTGGTAGTACAAATCAAAGGCAGTGAGCATAATGAAAAGTGTGCTGGTGTAGTAGATCCACCTGCTTGCCGTTTTCAGGTGTTGTACTTGAAAATAATGTGAAGTAGCCATTATTTTGTTAACTTTGGCAAATGGCAATGCTTGCAGTAAAAAGATTCAAAGTCGAACTTTTATTCTTATTTAAACAATACTTGATAAAGTGGCAGTTTGATCGAACATTCACCCGCAGCAAGCTAACTTACCAATAGGAAAATGATGCAAAAAGCGTGAGAGNTGTCGAACTTTTATACTTATTTAAACAATACTTGATAAAGTGGCAGTTTGATCGAACATTCAACAGCAGCAAGCTAACTTACCAATAGGAAAATGATGCAAAAAGCGTGAGAGGTGCCATTGGGTGAGGGGCCAATTTGAGCAAACACTAAGTTTAACTTCATGATGACGACTGATGAGCAGACACTCGGCTATAAAAAACAAAAAACACATTAAAACAGTGTGGACAGTCTGCAAATCAAGGCCATCTGTGACCGAGGGTAGACATGAGTAGGCAAGTAAACTGAAGACAGTAAAGTGCATCCAACAGGTGGGCCTACTTGGCCAGACAACGGAAACTTGGTTACTAGAGCATGTGTGAACATTTTTTGGGTTGGTGAGCTGTTTTGCTCCTAAGAGAATCATAGTACGGACTGCTAATCATGACAGCTACCGCGAATCCTGTTGCTATATTTGAAGACCTGCCTGCCGCTATCAATATGAGCAAAAAGTGGAACAGCTTCATTTACGGCGGCCAATGGACTGTCAGAGCCACGGAAACTGTCGATTCTGCCATTAGAGTTTACACTTGCAGCGTCGGTGGTGCGCAACAAGGTGCCGGTCTGACGAGGCAATCAGAGCTGCGGACTAGTGACAGTGGCGGTAGTGACCGCTATGAAGCGTAACCACACGGTGACTCCTACTCTTCGCATCACAGTAATGAGTCCATTTAGTGGACTGCAACACAGGCTGCCTCACTGCCCATTCGACCATATGATATCTGCCAATTGGCACTACTCCATATATACCCTAACGAGATTTGCAGATTCCTTAGAGGTCAGTTACTATTTTGCCTGTTTCTACTTAAAAATATTTAACATAGTTTGTAAACACTGTTGTGTTGCTGTTTGAATGAAAGGCAGATATAACACGTGATTATCGCTTTTTCACCTTCAGATAACCAAAACATTGAATGCTATTTAGTGTTATCATGAAATATTCATTGTTTTCTGCTAATGGAGCCTACAACAGAGTCAAATTATTTTCTATGAAACCTCGTTTATTGTCTACAATGACAAATGATCTAAAAAGAGCTACCTAATGGTCAAAACTGAGTAAATACAAAAAATAACCAGATCATAGTTGGAATAGGAAGCAGCTTTTACTTTAAAGAAAAGGTCACTAATCTCGGTGATAATGTGGCGTTGCAAAAGATTTCCTTTTTCTAAGCAACTGTTGGCATCATTAGTCAGACTACCGTAGAGAGGACTTCAAAGTGAAGACAATAAAGAGACAAGCAGTTAAGGAACTGTATCAGCGAACTTTATGGCCGTAAAGTGATTTAAATTCTGGCAGAAACAACCACAGCAGAGAAGCTGTGGCAGCAGCTCGCTGCACTTCTAATGGCTTTTTAAAAAGATATCTCTATTGCTTCTAAACGAGCGGTCGTCTTGGTTCTACTTTAAATTGCTCTATCTCTAAAATGTGAATGGTCAAAATGCTTGAGCGCCAAATTGGTCGCAAACTGACAAGCACTCGTTTAGACATAGTACCTTGCTTTAATCAGTTCAAATGCCAAAGAAATTCAATATATCAATCAACAGATAATTTTAATATTTTTTTCTAAACAGAATATTGGTTTTTGACTCACAAAACAAGATTTTGCCAGTGCCAAAAAAAATGTCTGAACAAGGACAAAACAATTTGGTTTTAAAAGTAGACAAGATTTGCTTAAATTTGATTTTCGTTTAAAAATAAAAAAAGGCAGATTGACAAGTGACAACTTGAATTTAATAGAGTTTATTTGACTGACTTATTTTCTTTTTGGTACCTGCTATCTGTCAACAGATTTACACAAGTGCTAGTCTGCAGGTCTGACAGACACACGTGTGAACAAACAAGCCAACAGGTGCTGCCAATGCTGCTGCTGATGCTGCAGTATCGTCACTTTGGTGCAATAAGAAGTAAAGCACTGGGAAAAGGGGAAAACAGTTGCACGGCATTGGACAATGCTGATGACGGAAAAACTAAAAGGAACAATTGAGTGGTGATGCTTGTGCGAACTGGCGGTGCCTGCATCACGGTTGTACTTGGCTCATCTGCCGTTCACCTGTGCTTGGGAAGACTGTTCACTTGGCACTGAAGGGAAATTAATTAGAAAAAACTTTGCAATGAAAATCATACACAAAAACTAGAGGTTTTCAAAAGGGAAATTGCATAAAGACAAACGTAAATCTGACTTCAATTCATCTCTATTTCTGTTTTTAGTTCGCTGGCCAAAAAAAATCTCGATTTCGAGCAGTTTCAATTGAAGCTTAATTAATTAGCCTTAATTAATGGTCTCTGGTGATTAATGATCGCTTAAGAATGCAATTTGCAATGAACACGATAAAAACACGCACAAAGACATACAAACGGGCAACAGGTGTCAGAATTATTGACGGCCACATGACCAATGGCCACTTTTAGCGGCGATTGTTGTTGTCTTCTGCGCACATGTGTTAAATTTTTGTTAACAATGGCATCAAGTGCTAATCACGTAATAACTAAATGGTCAATTGGCGACGGATTTTGATGCGACATACCTTTTCAGAGAACTTGGTGGGATGTGTTGAAAAGTTTAAAACCATAAGCTTTTAAACACATAAAAACAAATCACAATTGTATACTTTTATAAAAGTTAACGTTGATTGAATTACATATGCAGGAATCAAAGTTTACATGATTGCCAAACAAGGTAAAGTTAGTCGAGATTAGACTGGTGACTGTCAAAAACTTAGCAAATTGTCAAACACATGGTCACAAATCTGCAGCACCGAAAAAGCCTAACCACCGGTAGAGAAATGAACTAAGGCTAATCATCTCTTCTGTCAGATCTCAGAGGTGGTAGTGACGGTTGTGTGTGCAGAGACGAAAGCCGGCATTTTCATATAATCGAAGGTGGTTACCATCAAGCAGCAGAAGCAGACAGAGCAAGCTTTGGCGTAACTGTAAACGAGAAGACTTGTAGCTTGCCTTTCTTACCTAGCACCTTACACTTGCTACCCCTTTGCGGTGCTTCTTTCTAACGTTGATCGTAAAAAGACTAAAGGTTTCCTTTCAAAAGGAGAGAGACGACAAACGACTAGTTGAAAAAGGGAGAGAAAGAGAGAAAATCTTGATAACCAACACTGAACACCAGAGCGGGAGAGAAAAAGAGGAAAGAAGGAAGAACACCAAAAGACGGCATAGTCGATTCTGTGCACAGTAGCTGCTGAAGGTGCACCGGTAAAAACACGATGGAGCCTATTTCGAAAACTAATCATATGTTTTCTGAACACTGGTAGATTTTATTGAAGTGGACTGTTTTAGCATGTCAATTTTTAATGGGAGAAATAAAAGAATCGGCATTGTGTCGGTTGGTTACAGAACTGAGAGTAAAAAAAATATAATTTTGTTGGTTTTTTACGCAAAAGTTTTTAAAACATTTAATTAGTTGACACTTGTTAAATTTATGGAAGATAGAGTGTTGCACTGGGCGCCTGATATGAAACACCGAAGCAAAATAAAGACGTCGAAGTAGTCAAAACACACAAAAAAATGTAGCCGGACATCAACACAACCTTGACCCTTTTTGGCAAATTCACGAAAAGTGTGTATTTAGAGATGATACTTTCAGTGACGGCCAAAAACGATGAAGTGTGTGTGTTCCTTATAGCAGAGTGTATTGTTTGAATGTGAGAGAGAACAGAAAGGAAGATGCTACTTGAGATACGAATCAAAGCTCACCTCCATTTTCTCTTTTCGCGGAGTGTCACACTATAGTGAAGTGTCTGCAAAGAACCACTGAAACATTGCGTGTGGCGGCATTGATTAGATCAGCGGTAGTGCTGCTTACGGAGATGACCAGACAGAGGAACAACAAACACCTTTATTGGCAATATTCGAAAATGGCGGACATTGGACAGTTTCAAGTGTTTGTCTGATTGCTCCAGGCATTTCTATGAGCTTTCTTAGTTTAATGGAAGAGAGCTACTTAGGTGTTAAGCTGTTTCCAGACAATTCTGGCCAACTTTGAAGGACACTGCAGTGTTCTCCAAACTGAGCTAATGGTAGCCACAAATCGAGTGCGTGTGCAAGTCACCGCAATGGGCTGCGAGTAAACAGACTACGCTGCGTCCTCTCCTTAATTGCTCTAATTGTCGCGTGCAGTCATTACCATTAGTCGGCAGCGTCAAAGTTAGCAAAGTCTCTTGTGTCCGTTACATCTCAAGCACTAGTGAACTTCATCTTTCTCCATCATAAGTGATTATTTCAGCTTGTCACTTGTAGCATTCTCTCATGCAGACGCTTTTCTCACTATCCAATTTGCGTTTCTCCTCACTGAAATGTCCATTGCAGTTTTCAATGACACTGGTTCACAATGTCTCTCTAACCTTCTAAACACACAGCAAATTGATATTACATTTAATATTCATTTTGCTATTACAAAAATGAAGCTGTCCCCAATGAAGGCAGTTTTATTATAGTTGCCCTCTTCAGAATAACTTACAGTAGAGCATCACATATTAAGCATGGGTAAAAGCATGTAGCCTTATTTGCATGGAACATCAAATAGTTTTTTGAATGAGCCATTGGACACACTAACTATGAGATGCTAATGCCTACCCTCCCTTGGTACCCATTTCTCACTATTTTTGCCACCTTGATGCTGCAAATAGAGTAAAGACAAATTGCCTTGTAATAGGAAGTAAAGTCGAGGCAAATTGTCTTTAAGCTTCAAAACTTGGTTTGCTCAGTTGTCGTTTAGTGAATACTTGTAAGCCAATTTGGAAGCTAAACATACACTATTTACCACCATCTGCATCTATTTTAATAGCCACTTAAAAAGTAAAACATTTTATTAAGACAAGCTAATTAGTAGCACTAACATTTGCATTTTTATTGACCGATTTATTGTGAACACACGCATTGCTCATTAGTAGTTGATTTTCCGTTTTGTTTCCTTATTGCCACCTTTTGCGATGGCCACAACTTATAACCAGTGATTCGTTTTTTTAAAACAAAAAAAATAAAATTTATTTGCATTTAACATTATTTTAAACACGTATGTTTTTGTAATTTTAAAAAAAGTTTTGTTATAGTTTGAAAGCTATTTGCCAAGTGCCGATTGTCAATTATGTGCGACAAGATTATTTACACCGTTTGTTCACAGTTATTCAACAACTGCTCAGTCAAAATGACAAAGTATCAGAAAAAAACAAACCAAATCAATTTACAAAATTTCTACATTTAGAGGCGGCATTTCTATTTTCTGTAGCCTGATGACAAATAAATAATAAATTTTATTAACTGGTAAACTTTCCGGAATGTTTGGGAAGAAAGCAAAACTAATGATTTCATAGTGACAGGAACAGAAGTACAAGTCAATCAAATTGTCACTTGCATTTACCAAATTTTTTTATTGTTGTTATCTAATAGTTTTTGGTCAGTGCATAAAGTGATTTGAGCAGTTTAGTTTTTTATTAATTGCTAAGGGGATGTGCAGTTAAAATAAATCGAATTTCAGTTTTTGGCTAAATATCACCGGTAAAGCGTTAATCTGTTTGCCAGTTGTGCAGGACACTGAAGCAAAGAAATGTGCCTTTTTGATTGCTGACTAGTGGTGAAATGTTGCTGAAGGGAAGCAGACATCGATACCATGAAAATGGCCAAATAATTGCTCTACTAACACCTTTCTGTAAGATCATGTTCTGAAATCGATTCCTGTTTATTACAAGCATTGAATACGGTAAACGTTTTTGATTGGTCACATCTCTTCAACTCTTTGTCAGTTTGACTTTACAAAGTTTCTTAAGCATAATTAAATAACTCTTTTTGCTTGCCACTAAAGTCCAGTCGCAAACTGTTTTTAATGTGAGCTAAACGCTTTGCCTTCTCAGTTTACCGTGCATGAAGTTTTAATCAACTGAAATTTTTTTGTTTAACCTGAATCTACTATATTGGATACACAGGAATCTGTTTTTAAAAATATTTAAAAGTGATTAAATTTTTGAATTTTAAATGTCAGTGTCAAGTAGGCAATAATAATCAAAATTTTTAGTTGCTGTTTTATTTAACTTTAATTATGAGGCCCAAAATTGAAAATAAGTAATTCTACACACTAGGTCTTTTTTTTTAAAAAAATTAAAAAGTAGATTAATTATTTACTTTTAGAATATAAATTAGGTTTATACAAATTACCTGTGCTTTTGATTGTCAATTCAGCAGTTCCAATAGTGGCATTGTTTCAACACACAGTCTGCTCTACTTATTTTTCATCAATCATCGCAACATCAGTACTTCTTAATTAGCTGCAAAACTTATAATTAATTTTAATAAAACTCCTGGTTTGCTGAACTTGTAACTAGTTGCCAGAGTGATGGCAAGATGAGCATTAGCAAACAATAGCAACCCTCTTGAAGTATTGATAGAAACAGTCAATTAGGGAGAGAAGAGGATAGATGACACCGTTTCAGTCAATGATTAACCGAGTTCTCTACAGAAAACCAAACAATTGTTTTTTTAAAGTTCAAACAACTCAAGAAGCAAAGACTTTTGAAGCATGAGACAACTAATTTGCAGCTAACAAGTATCATTAATAACTTTTAGACAAATTATTGAAAAAAGATGCACCGCATATCAATAATGATTGTCAAGTTAATTTAATTAAAGGCAGACATAATTTATTAACAAGTCTTTTGCAGCCACTTCAAACTCACAGTAGGCCACAGTTAATCTCCATTGTCGATTTAGACCAGAAAATGTTTTCTGATGTCTGCTTTGCAGTTAGTTGAAGGCACCGAGCAGTACTCTCTGACTTTTAAAGTGATTTAATCCTTGACTGCCTTTCATCACTGCCAGCTTGACATCCACCATACTGGCTGCGATGGTAGATTCGCTGAAAAATAGTGCGTATATGCCAGCAACTACTAATGATTTCAATACAAAGCAAAGTGGTAGCGATTAGGCTGGAGGCAGCAATGGGTAGTGAATGCCAGTTCCAGCGCTGAATTGCCGTCAGTCGAAAAAGGTGATTCGGCAATTGAAGAAAAACGGAAAGAAAAACAAAAGCCAACATCATATGAAGCTGATGCAGTGAGAAGATATTAGTTAGTTGAGATTGGATAACTCAGTTTAAACTGTTTTTTTTCATACCTGCTCCAGTTTATTTCCTGCATGTCCCACGTAAAGCCGAACCACCTCGACTGTGGACATTAGCAGTAAGGATGCACTCCATAAAAAATCAAATACTTGTAATTTGACCTGAAAGTAAGGAAAATAAATAAAAGTTTTTAAGCAAAAAAAATACTTCGGCAGTATTGCTGTTTGGGCAAGCTGGACGAGAAAGCTCCAACCAACACCAGATAGGAAACAGGTACGAGTTGAAAATGAGACATATCTGCAGTGGCAAATTGCAACGTATCTTTACATCTACGGGGTAAATAGTACAGCACTGTTTTAGAAGAAAGAAAAAATGTCATAAAACTTACCTTGATCACTGCCAACAGATTCACCTGATAAGGTCATAGTTTAACCAAAAAAGGGTAAGTCAGTAGAGCAACCCATTTAAAAACTTAAAGGCTAACATTGACTGTTTGTTTGTTGTTCTTGCCATCGGTTTCCAATGGCGACCATTGTTTCGTTATAAAAAATAACATTTAAACACACATGGGCAGAGGAAACTAGTATTATCATGATCATAATTAAACAGTATCACTTCAATTAGCTACATTTTGTAAATGTTGTGACTGATAAAAATATGTGCATTGCTAACTGTGAAATTAAGTTTTCAATTGGTGCCACTGCTTATAAGCTTATAGCACAATCGTACAATCTTTTGAGTTGACAATTTATAAAACTTATTGCTTAAAAGATGAAATGTCTTTTCGAGTTACAAGTGGCAGGAAGACAATTGACTAGATGAGTTTTTGCTGATACCACCAAATCAGAAGATCATTTCCTTATTAACTCGCCAAAGCATGGAAAACGGAAAAAAGATACTACCCCTCAAAATAAAAAGCAGATCTTAAGCCACTAAGAAATAATTTTTAGAAATTGTCACAATTAATTTACAGAAGATTGGGTTAAGTGCTGCCTGAAAATTTGATGATGTGATTGTAAAAGTTTCGCTAACATCAACTTTAGCATTGGCTTTCTTTTGCCGCGTTTGGAATTTTTTACACGACCTTTGCGAATGGGCCATTATTCAAAAAAATTACATGCTCTGTGATTCTCGGTAATTTTTCTGATCAGAACAGCATTGTTGACAACCTGTGCTACTGTCCAACTGTCAACAATTTTGGTGACAAAATGATGCAAGTTGACAAATTCACTTGCTGAAGAGCATTCACCTAATTATGTCCAAATTGATCTCCACACATCTGATTTGAAAATGTCTTGGGATACTCGTTTACTTGTTTACACAGCGACACTACTGCTACTGTGTCTATTCATCTTTTCATCCAATCATTGTGATGCACTGATTAAATATAATTTAAATGAACACCAGCACATATTCAACAGTGACGATGAAAATGTGTATAGAAAAAGACGGGAAGTTGTCATTACTGAAAACAATACTTCAGACAATGTGGCCGCATCTGATATCAGCGCAAATTCTCTCATTACTTTGGTTCACCTGAATGACAGTCACGAGCAATTAACAGGTTGAGACTTATACTTTATTGCACCCGTAGATTAACTAACAATACAACTTTTTAGTGCATTGGGCAGGTAAAAATTCACCTGAAATTATTTCGCTGGCCCGCAATCGGAAGCTTTCGCGCAGAAATCAGTCATCTGATGTTTATATCTCTCACAACTACGGAAAAACATTCAATCGAATTACCGACTTTAAACTTAAAGACGGCTCTCCTGCCATCATTAGTACCTTCTACATTTCCCCCGTAGTGAATTCATTTTATATTTTTGTGGCTGAAAATAGCAACTGCATTTTTATTACCAAAGACACTGGCAACAATTTCCAACGAATCGACTTAAACTTTAAGCCAAAACAATTTTTGCTTCACCCAACCGTTCCAAATTTTGTGTTGGCCTCATCTTCAATCAAGTATGATTTATTTATGATTTTTCTATATTGAAATTAACGTTCGGTTATTTTATCACAGTAATTCTACTGATTCCTCCCTATATGTAACTGAAAATTTTGGCTTTTCTTGGAAAAATATTCAGGACAAAATTGGCTATTTTTCCTGGGACATTGAAGGCGCTGAGTTTGAGCGAGATTTCAGAACCATTTTTGTACTGCGAAATGAGCCCAACGGTCTGGCAACACTCATCTCGTCAAACGATTTTTTTGCCAATTACAGCACAATTAAAGTTTGGGCGAACAATGTGGAAGAAGTTGAAATTAACGGAAAGTACATCTTTGCGACAAGACGGTTCGCTTTGATAGGCACTGCCATGGAAATTCAAAGCAAACCGCATGCTCTACGAGGGTCACATCAACTATGGATTTCAGTTAACAGAAAGGATTTTTACCGTGCCGTCATTCCTTCGTTGTCTTCAAATTCATTAAACATTCTCAATTACCACATTGCCGTTGCCGACCCGGAAATTGTTTTTCTTGCTGTCACATTTCAAAATGGAACCACCAATTTATACACTTCAGGTATGATTTATTTTCTCAAAAAGTTGTAGCGTAAACTCATCCGCCAAGTTTTTTAGATCTAAAATACGAAACTTTTACTCTTTCACTGGAAAACATCTTGTACTTTAACTCGAAGATAACTAAAAACTTACCAAGTTTAAGCTTTGAAGCTAGTGGACAGGAGTTTTCCGAGTTGCATCGCGTTTCTGGAATCCGCGGAACTTATATTGTCTCAAAATGGAGAAATGCAACTAAAAAGTCATCAGTCTCTGACATAGTCTCTCTCATTACTCACTCATTCGGACGAAGATGGTTTCCTCTAAAAGAGCCCAAATATGACTCGTATGGACACAGTGTCTGCAATAATAATAGCAACTGCTCCTTGCATCTAGTGCAAAAGTACGTCTCCTTGCAGTGGAATCTGAAGCCAATATTGACGCGTGAATCGACTCCTGGATTTATCATCGCAACCGGTGTGACGGGCGAATCACTCAAAGGACAGTACGGCACTCACATGAGCACAGACGCAGGAAGTACCTGGCGGCAAGTGTTGACAGGGCCGCATCTGTACGCCTTTGGCGACCATGGCTCAATCATTGTCGCCGTAGTGCACTACTCCAAGGGCGGCACCACTAATGAACTAAAGTACTCGATAGACGATGGACAAACTTGGCTCTCCCTTTCACTAGGCGAATCATTGCGAATTTACGGGCTACTAACTGAACCAGGCGAAAAGACGACCGTGTTTACCATTTTTGGCTCCAAAGCCAAGTCGCACGAATGGATTGTCATTCAGGTAAGTACTTTTCTAGCCATTTTCTTGTGCTAATTTTTACCCGCCAAACTGCAGGCCAATTTTTCTTCGCTTTTTCATTCACAATGCACTCCAATGGACTACAAGGAATGGTCGCCGCACGATTTTGAGTCTGAATGTCTTCTAGGAAGTACGCAAATATTTCATCGAAAAATAGCAGCAAAAAAGTGCTTTAACGGCGAATTCTTTCAACGAGTCTCATCGCAAATTAACTGCCCATGCAAGTGGTCTGATTACGAGTGCGAAACTGGCTATTTGCGCGATCACTTTGAAAGTGGCAGTTTTAAATGCATTCCTGACGACACATTTGGTGACGCCTTTGATGCTGGCATGTGCAAGCCTGGGCGCATGTTCAACAGGACTAAAGGGTACCGAAAAGTGGCTGGAAATGTCTGTGAAGGGGGTGAAGAAGATTACTACTCTCCACAATTGCTGCCTTGCCCTCTCAGTGCCAATGAAAGTGAATTTATCCTGTTTGTTCAGCGACAGGACATTTCCATGATCTCTTTAAACTCGCAAGAGTTTTCCAAGAATTCCCTTGTTCCAAGATCGTTCCTTACCAACGCAATTGCTGCTGACTTTGACGTTCAAAAGAGTTGCCTGTTCTGGTCCGACATTTCGTTTCATCGAATCATGCGACTTTGTCTCAACGGGACGCAAACTCAGCCCGAAGTACTAGTTGAAAGCGAACTCTACTCAGTAGAAGGCATTGCCTTCAATCAAATCAATCGACACTTGTACTTTGTCAACGGGTTCAAGTCGAAGATTGAACTGATTGATGTTGACGCTCATCGCGAAGGCCGAATGCGACGAACAATTATTGCCAAGCCAAATATTGACAAGCCTCGGGGGATCGCAGTTGATCCGCTAAGTGGATATCTCTTTATCACCGATTGGAGCACCTCTCATCCGGCTATTGTAAAAAGTGAGCTGGATGGGCAAAATATACAGATACTCTTCAACAGTCTGACGGTCATTTGGCCAAACGGAATCACAGTGGACCAGCGATCGTTACGGATTTTCTGGGTAGATGCCAAGTTGGACTATATTGCAAGCTCAAACTACGATGGAAAAGAGCTTAAGTACATTTTGCGCGGAGAACACACGCCCCATCCGTTTGCTTTGGGTGTGTTCAAAGACGTCGTTTTTTATGATGACTGGAACCTGCACAAGTTGATGCTTGTCAGTAAGCACAATTCTACTGTTCGTAAGGAAATTCTCAACGGTGTCACTGGAGCAATGGATTTGAAAATAATAACGCACTTTTACACAAACATGAGCAACGGTTGTACAAACAACACTTGCGAGCATTTGTGCATTGCCAAACCGGTCAACTCATTTCGATGCCTATGCCCGGACGGTTTGGTGTCCACATTGACACCTGACGGTAACGAAAAGTGCTCCTGTCCGCTAAATGAAGAAATGACCAGTACTGGAGCATGTAAGCCACTTTTGCCTAGTGTCACATGTGGTCCTGACGAGTTTAAATGCACTTCTGAAAACGCATGCATCAGGTACGATTTGCAGTTTTTTTGTTTTCAGGCTTGATAAAAACTTTTATTTTTAGCAATCAATGGACTTGTGATGGTGAAAGGGAGTGCGGTAAGGAAATGAAATGGGTGTAATTTTAAAACGGCTAAACTCTTTTTAACATTTCAGGGGACGGATCTGATGAAGATGCAGAACATTGCAAGTTTGAATATCATTTTGAAAATCCTATTTTTCCCATGGATGACTTGCCAACAATTTCAAACGCTTCAAATTGCCTGTAAGTCGTTGTACTAAGTTTGTTTTTGATTCAAATTTATTTATTTTTTAGCGACGAGGGGAATTGCTCAAGTTCTAGTGAAGCAAATGCTACAACTGCACAACATAACCTCATTCCTCATTCGGGCGGTTGTCCTGAAGATTGGCTGCAATGTCAAAATCAAGTTTGCATTCCCCTTGAATGGCACTGCGACGGTATCAAGGTAAGCGACGGTGTCTACTTTTTGTTTTGTTTTTTTAAAACCATTTTTATAGGATTGTGACTCTGATGAGTTGGGATGTTACTTTGGTATGTAAAATGAATATTATTTAATTAAAGATTCCATATTAAAAATACCTGTTATTGCAGACCACACCAATGTGGCACCTCGGAACGGAACTAGTAATCATTCAAACTCATGTGGGCCTAACAAATTTTTTTGTTACAACTCTAACCAATGTATTTTAAGGTTTGTTGCTTTGAATTTTTTTTAAACGGATGGTAACTTTTTGTATTTGCATTTGCAGTTTTTACGAATGGTAATTACGCCTTGTGGTCAACAAGTACAAGTTTTAACTCTAACATTTTTTGTGTAAATGCACAGTGATGGCGATTTGGACTGCACCTTGGGGGAAGATGAGCCAGAAAGCTGCAAAACCAAATCAAATTTTTCTTGTCCGTCTGGAACATTTTCCTGTATTCTTAAGCCTCAATGCATACCTATAAGCCAAGTGTGTGATAATGTTCGATCGTGTGAAGACGGGTACGTTTATCATAGAGATTTCTTTTTTAATTTCTCTTAATATTGACCATCTTAATATTGTCCAGATCTGATGAATGGGGCTGCGTTTCCGAAAAAGTTGCTGAAAATGGCATTTGTCTAGGTATGTTTAAAGTTGTGCTTGATGAAATGTTTAATTTTTTACGTTAGGTTTCTCTTGCAAATCTGGAGAATGCATATCGCACAGCATGAGATGCGACAACAAGAACGACTGTACTTTTGACGATTCGGACGAGGAAAACTGCAACGAGAAGATCTACCACGTCGATGAACTACATCTCGTAAACGATTCAATAACGGGGTCATCATTCTCTATTGCTTGGAGCTCACCTAATACCAGTTTGACATTTCTCTATTTACCGGCATATGCTCAGTATGCTGATGAAGACAGCCATACCGCAATCAATACCAGTTGGACTGATTCAACCAATTACACCTTCACTCGGCTACTCTCGGGAAATACCTACAAAGTTTATGTCTTTTGTAAGCTGATCGAACTCGATAAGGTGTTTTCTCCAGTGCACTTTATCAAGGTGAGCACAGCCTCAATTGCCCCTCGGCCGCCTCCAGATTTTACAGCTGAAGAAATTGGCTACAATCGAGTTTTGCTCAAGTGGAAGGTGCCAATGATTAATGAGCCCATCAAAGGGTATAAAGTTTGGTACACCCCGCCATACCCTGCCAGTAGAAAAATGCTCGACTATAAAACGCAACAATATGAACTGTCTGGCCTGTTTGCGATTGGCGTCAACTACACCTTCTGGGTGACAACGCTGACCAAAAACTTGGAGAGTGCCGACTCAAACAAAGTATCGATATTGATTGAACCGTTGGCATCAATTAGTTTGATTCAGCCAAAGGACATTACCAACTCGTCAGTGTCTCTGGAGTGGAAGTCAACGCCGAGGCAAATTTCAAAATGGTTCATCGTATGTCGCTGCGATGAATATTTTCCCATGTTTGTCAAAAACTTGACAACCTACAAAAACGAAGCTCTAGTGAGCAATCTATCGCCGGGTGTGAACTATCAATTTAAGCTTTACCCCATTGTCAACAACACTATCATGTACGACGCAGTACAGGACAACTTGATCTCTTTACGCACACTTGGCCGACAGTTGCCCTCTGTTGTGGTGAACTCGACCGTCAGTGGCAGTGTAGTATTACTAAACTGGGCAGCTCCTTCGCACTACAATGAAGTGGAAGTCGATCCAACTGAATGGAAGTTTGCCGTCTATGTTGGCTATACTCTAACTGATTTGAAGATATTCGCCAAAACAAGGGACACAAATGTTGTTTTGCGCAATTTGTTTTCCTGTTCAAGTTATGTTGCTCAAGTTCGAGTAATCGAACCATTCGGCATTGGGCCTGCTCAGAATCTGCATCAATTCAACACAACATTTTTCCCATCTTCTCCGCCAAAAAATTTAAAATTTGAAAGTTTGACTGACGACAATATTAAGTACAAGATCAGCTGGGAGAACTCTTGCGGCCCTGATGTCAATGTAAACGAAAAAATTGGCTACATTGTTTCAGTGTATGATACAGTTGGCAAGACCGAAGACAGATTCAGGTTCAGGAAAACCAGTGACACGCTGCACTCTTTTGAACTTAGTGCTCATTACGGGGCCGTGTACCAAATTAAAGCTTCTACTGATGCTTCTCTGGAACACCCCAGATGGACTGATACAATCGTTTTGCAGCCACCACCGTTGCCAAGAGTGCAAAAGCCCCGGGCTTTCATAGATGAGGGAGGCAGTTTGCACGTTATGTGGAAAACAATCAACTATTATCCCAAAGATTATCAGGCGCACAAGTATGTACTCACTCACGTGTGTCTTCTTCTGTCACTTAATTGCTCTATTTGTAGGTTCTTCTACAAAGTCTTTGTAAGCGCCGAGGAAAATGTACAAAATGGTGACTCGCTTATTGTGCAAGAGCCTCCAGCAGTGGTGCACCTGCCTGCAGCTAAAGTGCCTCGCTTTTACTTTGCCGTTAGCCTGCTAGACAATCACGGTTACTCTGGTCCTATCTCCGAAACGTCATCTTGTCCTACTCTAAACTCTCGTAAGTGAAATTGAAAAAAACATTTGAAATAGCGAAGCAAAATTCTTGATTTTTTTCTTTTATTTAGTTTATGACTCGACTATTAGCCACCCTGTAAAAGATCTTTTTGTTTTTTCGATTTTCTTGACTACTGGAGCTCTGATTGCTCTAGTTTACATTGTCATAAAGAAAGTATTTTCTCGATCAACTCCGTTTATAGCCAATAGTCACTACAACTCTAGATCTGACTCGGCAACTTTGGCTTCCTATGACAATCTCACCGGTGAGTTATGGGGTTATTGCTTTATTACTGTAATCTCTAACAAACAATCTACTAGACCTTGAAGAAACTGCCAATGTCTGCTCTGACGACGAACCATTAGTGGCTGCGTGATTCCCGTCGTCAATAGGCGATGACGTGACAGATGATTGTCTCTTCTTCCTTTTGTTGTTTGCATCATTTAGCCTCATCATTGTTATTCTTTTCAACCACTTTCCAACGACCTTATCTGACATCTCCGCATCAACAGCTCATTAGTATTAGCATTTTTGTATTTTTTGTCGTACAACAGCAGTCGCAGCTGTTTTCACGTATCAAGTTCATTGTAAATCACCAGGTGGTCCAGTTTTTTACTCTTGTTCATTCCTACCCGGTTGTATTCATCATTTCGACACTTGTGATATAATTTCTTTTCTATCCGCATCTATGGAGAAACAAAGCAGCAGCATCTCACAAAAAAAGCCATATTTACACAGTTTATTTACACAAAAAACACTGATCAGTGTACAAATAAATACTTTGCAATGAACACGAGAAGAAGCATATTGCACAAATCGGTCACAGGTTGGCTTGGGGTGGCACTGGAGTTGACAGTCGATTTTCCGCCATTGACCGACAGTGGAATGGTACTATCACTCTCTTCCGCAGCTAGATCGGCGTCAATCAAATCAACGGAGACTGGGCCATTATGAAAGGGCACACAATCATTGAGATAGTCGGAGAGAACAGCTCCCGTCGAGTCGATGGGGAAGATGCAGACGACGAATTTGTGGTGCGTTGGCAGACTGGTAAAGAGGTAGTCTCGCTTCAGGTAGGTCACCGTTTCATTCACCATAAAGGAGTCCTCCTCCTGACGACGCAGCAGAACGTTGAATGAGGCAATGTCCTGAATGCGATTCTGCACAAACCACACCACTTTAATCGAGTCTTGTCGTCGTTTTCGAAACTTTTCTATAGCTCGTATTTTGATTGGCCTTGAGCTGAGAAAGTACTTTTTGTACTTGGCCACTTGTGCCTTGTCACAGTTGAGCATGTCGGCTCTTAGTTCCACCATTGCTTTTCCATTTACCGGTTTTGGATCATTGCAAGAAAGCGCCGACCAGTGTTCATACACCGGCGACTGCTGACCCTCCAGTTGCGCCTTGTGCTTTTCAGCATAAATCCACGACACCAGTGGCATCAGCTTGCAATCACAGTACAGATGATTATCTGTAAGCAGTAAACAAGTTGCTTATTATATAGGCTGTAGTCACCGGGTGCTATAATTAGTTACCGTAAAAGTTGAGAAGCAGTCCTTTTTTAATCTTGCCAAAAAGGCTCTCATCGATGTTAATCAGCTTGTTGGCGCTCAAGTCGAGCAATCGCAGAGCGGCCATCTCGGTCAACTCGCTCATCGTGATGAGTGAAATTTTATTTTTTGAAAGGTCGAGATATTTGAGCTGGGTCATGCTTGGCCTAAAGGCGCCTTTCGGCATTTTTCGAAGTTGATTTTTAGACAAATCAAGGTGTTTGAGCAGGGTCATGTTGCCCAGTGTATCAGGATAGATTTCGTTGATTATATTGCCACGCAGTGAGAGCCACTCTAGTTTGCTCAGACCGTTGTCAAAGTGCGAGGTCAGCAGGGGAATGGTGTTGTAGGATAGGTCCAAATGTCGCAGCTTGTAAGGTATCCAGGGCGAGTGGGGAAAAGAGCGGTCTTTCACCAGTGAAATTTGGTTATGGCTCAAATTCAACTGACTTAAAGACAGCAGTGGCTCAAAAATGCTGTGAGTGTTGTTGTCCAGACTGCGAAGACTGTTGAACGACAAGTCTAATGATTGCAGTGAAACCATGGTATTAAAGACATCGGGTGAAATGTGGTCGATTCGGTTGTTGCTCATGTTCAGTGTCAACAGCTGCAGCAGTCCCTCAAAGGCATTGTCACTAATGTTGACTATTAAATTATTGCTCAGCCACAGGTTGAAGAGAATGGGTAGAGAACCGAATGCTTGTCGATCTATTGAGACAGAAAGAAAATTGTGAATACTTGTTGTTGTTTTAAACAGTTACCAACCTAGTTGTGTCAGCTCATTGAAACTCAGGTCCAGGTTTTGAAGCGACCTTAGGGGAGAGAGTGCTGCCTGTGGCACTTGGGTCAGCTTGTTTCGCTTCAATGAGAGCGTGTTGAGAGAAAGACAGGTGGCAAAGGCATCCCCCTCCAGTTTGCTAATGTTGTTGTTGTCCAGGTATATCTCGAGAATGGCATTGATTACTGGAAAGGCATTTCCGCGAATAGTGGATATAAAATTATTTTCCAGGTAAATGGTGTTTACAGCCACTGGAATCGGAAACATCTTCTCCAGTTGATTGTCATTGGCGTGGATTGTCTTTACTGAAAGCAAACTGGAGACCCCACCGTTGGAGATTTCTTTAATCATGTTGTGTGAAATGTCCAAGGTTAAAAGTGTACTTAAAGTGCCAAAAGCAGAGAACCCTATTTTGACTAATTGGTTGTATGACAAATCGATTGTTCGTAAAGACACAAACTTTTCAAAGACGTTGCCGGTGATTTCGCTTATTAAATTATTGCTCAGGTCGATGGTACTCAGCTCAAACAGTTTCTTGTTAGTAAAATGCTTACGGTTTAACTCAGTCAAAAGATTATGAGACAAATTGAGCAATTTCATGCCTGTCAGATTTGTGAAAATGTCGAAATTGGAAAGATTGGCAATGAGATTGTGGTTTAGATGAAACACTGTGCAGTCGCATTCATCGAAAATGTTTCCTTTCAGATTAGACAGATGGTTGTGACTCAGATCAAGTTCAGTGATGTTTTGCAGCTCCTGGAACGCCTTGAACTCGATAACAGAAATGTTGTTGTTTGAAAGATTGATTCCAATCTGTTGGCACATTGAGCATTGTTAAAAGAGCCCAAAAGCAATTCTGGAATATGCTTACCTTGAACATGCGCTGAAAAGAGCCTCTCTTTACTGTGGTGAGTTTATTGTGAGAGAGATCAATTAGATCAAGCCATTGCATGTCTTTGAATATTTCCGGCTCCATTTCAGTGAGCTCATTGTGAGAGAGATCAATCAGCTTGATACGGGTCGTCGTTTGAAAAGAGTTTCGGCTCAGTTCCTTTATCAAGTTGTGAGAAGCGTAAAATTCTTTGAGAAATCGAATGCCTCTCAGCAGATATGCGTCAATCTGTGTGAATTTGTTGCCGGAGATGTTGAGCACTTTTAGCTGAGATACTCGAGAAAAGATTGACCGAGGTAGCGACGCAAGCTCACAATGCGACAAGTTTAGGGTCGTGACTGAAATTAGGTCATTAAAGTCGGCCTTGCCAATTTCTTTAAATTTATTGTACGACAAGTCAAGATAACTAAGCTTCTTGTTGGTGCGGAATAGATTGCGTTCCAGTTTGCTCAGCTGGTTGTGACTCAGGTCCAGTCGTTCTGAGCGAGCGAGTTTAAGTGTGGACAATTAGAAAAAGTGTCAATTAAATGGAGGCAAATTGCGCGTAACGCAAACTAGCCCAGTGTACCACTTACCGAGCACTACTAAGGGGGCAAATGTGGCCGATTCAATCTTTTTGATAGAGTTGTTGTGCAGATCAACTTCGATCAAATTGACCAGTTTCTTAAATGCACCACTTTTCACTTCGCTGATCGAGGCAGTGTTGGCAAAAACTACTCTGGTCAGGTTGAGAAGCACATTTATGCTGTCGGGAATACTTTTAAACTGATTTTCCTCAAATGACAGCGAACGAATGTCGTTCTTGAGACAAGTCAAACTGTCACTGTCCACATCGCGCAGATTGCTGTGCCGAAACGTCAGCGAGTGGACTGATTTTTCCTTGAAGAGTTGACCAACAAGTCGGGTGATGTTTGAGTTAGTAACCACCAGCGAGTTGATGGGCTCTTTGACGTTGCTTAGCGCCAAAGCAAAGGTGGCCAGGTTGGAGTTATCACAGAGAAGACTGATGCCCTTGAAGCCGCCTGAAAGGCAGCGACAGGGAAACAGGTAAAACTGATTCTTTGGACACTTGTGTTCTCCATCTCCCAAGGCCGGACTGGTCAGTACCACTGTGAGCAGTAAAGCGGTGCAAAAGAAAGCACATGGCCTGCAGTGGAAAGTCATGACGAGGTGCTGCTGCTGCTAGGTCATTTTGCTGAGGAGGCAGTGATGCTGATGCTGACGAGTGATGAAGCTGTTGCTGCAGCTAGTGATGCACATTTCGGCCCGCTCAAACGGTGACTGCAGCGGTACAGCTCGATTCTGATTGAATGTAGCACTGCACGGGCGCGACTGGCACTGCTTCAGCAGCGAGAGTGGCCACTGGCTCACTGGGCAACTTGGCAGTCGACGACAGACGCTGACCTTATTTCAGCGACGACTACCTGTTTGCAGTGCACCTGTTCGCTGCCACTGTGCCACTGCCGTCTTTCCATCTCTCTGCACTTGTTCTCCTTGTTCTTTCTCTCTCTCTCTCTCTTTTCTCACGTCGTTGTGTACGCCTCAAGAAGCAGTTGTTCAAAATGAGCCCCTCTTTATGAAACGTTTTTTAATTTTTTTTGTATAAAAGTGACAGACTCANTTTCTCACGTCGTTGTGTACGCCTCAAGAAGCAGTTGTTCAAAATGAGCCTCTCTTTATGAAACGTTTTTTAATTTTTTTGTATAAAAGTGACAGACTCAAACTTGCACTGCTCTCCTGTCATTAAGTCATTTGTCTGCCGCCGTCTCAAGTGGTCTTTAGTGACCAGTTTCGGGCTTTGTTTGCCGTCTAAAGGCGCCTACCTGCCAATTGACTACGATAAAATTAGAATTGCAATTCAAATCTATCAAGCTGTCACTTTGCGACACACATTAGTAATAAATCGAATCAAGCGGTGGCTCAACTTGCCGACAGGCACCTGATATCACGGACACGGTGCACTCTCTTATTCCCGTTTGCGGCTTCATGTCGCTCCGGGCGCCAAGACACATCCGACTCACTGGTCTATTTTCGTAATTGCCAATTGTTCTACTCTACAACTATTCAATTACTGATATTAATATTGGGTTGCTGAATTGTCATTGTTTTGCTTTATTTGAAACTGCCAACTTGCAAGTTTTTGCATCACGTTTTTTCAATTTCAAAATCGAAAGAGCAATTTTCTGCCATCTAGCGGCTTGTTGATGACAGTAAAATGATTCCATCTTTTTCAACCCAAATCTCAGCTGGTTGATTTTGTTTACTTTTATTTTTCCTTTTCTTTGACCTTTGTCTGTTTTTCTTCGAAAAAATGATTCCTGTTATTCTGGCAGTAGCTCGGACATATGCACCATATGTCGTATTTCCATTCACGGGTAATTAACCTATTAATTAACCTATCAACCTATTAATGCCTTTTTAAACAGTGGGAATCGCTGCAATTGGTTACCACATGGAGTGGTTTTTCCGTGACAAAAACTCGCCGACTGGAGGGCAGAAAATCAGCGTTTTGAAGGAACGCGATGAACGATTGCTTGCTCAACTTGAAGACACAAACGATCTAACCAAACTAGACAGCCTCAAAGCGCGAACCTTTGTACCCAAGTCAATTTTTGAGAAAAATGTATCGCCATCTCTGCAAACATCAGATCAGTCAGCTTAAATTGTAGCAATTTAGCACATTGACAGGTGCATCTGCTTCATTGTGATACTTTTCTTTCTTTAGCTGTCATTTTTATTCAGCATCAATCAATAGTACTCTAATTAATGTCTATTATGTGGTCGTCATAAATGCCTTCTTACCAACCAAACTACTCATTATTCACTGAATTGATGTCGTTAAATGTTTAACGCCTTTTAACAAAAAGATTGGAAATCACTTTTTGAGAAACAACCTATTTTTTCTATTTTACTTCAAAAATGCAAGGAAAGTTTTTTTCTAGACTTTACGGTGACATCATTTACAAAGTTGTTCACATTTTAGGTGTAAAAGCTTTTTATTTTGAAAAAAGTGTTTCATACACAGTCTTGTGCTCATTGGCGGTGTCAATGACAATCAGTGCTGGACTGTTGACCAACACTTGTCCTCGACATTCAAACAGGAAATCTATACCACCTGTTCTCCTTTTTGACCGCTTTAGTAGCAATCGTGTGTTGCTGGTCAATTTACATTAATAATCCGCTGATCATTGGCCCAATAGGTGATTACGTTTGTCTAAACCCGTGCGAAGGTATAAAAAGGACTGCAATCGTCGACGACAGAGCAATGACAAATGAACAACTTTCAGTTAACAACTTTTTTTCTTAGAGATTAAATTTGTCAGCATTTCTCACTGTAGTTGTGACTTTTTCACCTGTCCTCAATTTTTGACGGCATGTCTGCCCGAAGTGTTCAATTGCTTTTGGGCGTAACGGCGGCCTGTCTCCTCANAGTATAAAAAGGACTGCAATCGTCGACGACAGAGCAATGACAAATGAACAACTTTCAGTTGACAACTTTTTTTTCTTAGAGATTAAATTTGTCAGCATTTCTCACTGTAGTTGTGACTTTTTCACCTGTCCTCAATTTTCGACGGCATGTCTGCCCGAAGTGTTCAATTGCTTTTGGGCGTAACGGCGGCCTGTCTCCTCACGCACTGTCACCGCATTCAGGCGGCAGAGGATGACTTTGGTGATGATGATGACTATGGCGACAAAGACGACGATAGAGAGGACGACCGAGAGTACACCCCGGGAGGACGCAAGCAGAGTGATGGCGGTCTGGTTGATGTGCGACACAATGCATTCGGTGAGAAGCATGTCGGCGTGCACGTACCGTAAGTCTCGCAGTGTAAATTTATCCATGGGAAAGTAATGTTGCCTTTTCGCCAATATTTTCCCAGAGTATTCTACAAGATGAACCTTGATAAGGACACGTATGATGGAAGGAAAAATCTGGGCATCGACGTGCTCAAAGGCTTGGTAAAGGTGCGCGTCAATAAAGACCCATACAAGATAAAAGACAATGTCTTTGTCTCGGTGGCCGGACTGCCATTGTGGCACCAGCGATAATGATGGAGTGCAGTCGACTACTGTGCACTTTTTCGAAACGACACTACTAATGGTCGGTTGATGCACGCAAATGATACCTCGAGAATATCGTCACTCTCTGACGGCCAACTTTTGCAAAAAGTTGCTTGTGTGATGTAGCATGAAATAAATAAATAAATGATTAACAACAAGTCTTAATTGACGCATCGAATGGTCATTGTTTTTTGACAAACTTAATGCAGTATTAGCCCAATTAGTGCATTGATGCGGTGCATTGTTGTCCACCCTTTTGTTGTTCCACTACCTTTGATTGTTGAACAGCAGCCTTTATCTTTAGCATCAACTTCACACGTTCAGCAAAGGAAACAATGGCAGGAGCAGTAAAGCCGCCCGTTCGCCCAGTGCATCTCTGTCGACTGTCGGCCAGTCTCATTGCCGACAGCCATCTCTTTGTCTTTGACACCGAGGGCGGAAAGCGACTGACACAATTCTGCGCCATCTCAGCCAGCCCCTCGCAATCGCTCTCCAAGAGTGAGTGTCTCAATCTGTACAACCTGGAGACGCATCGTTTGCAAGCACAAAATTTCAGTGAGTTGACGAAGATGGAATCCACTTTTGACCAATTCACATTCTGTACATTTTTGCAGCCAAGAAATTGAGCAGTGTGCCTTCCTTTGGCAACTGGCTACCATTTCAGCTGCTCCTGACGACCATCAACGAGTACTTTCGTCGTTCGCAAAAGGGAGTCATTCTCATTGGCCACTCTGCCATTAGCGCCGATTCAGCGCATCTCACTTTGGGCTTGCTGCAGCACTTTCAGCAGCGTAGACTTGATGCAAGTGCTGTACCTCACGGCAACATTGTTGGCTACATTGACACGCTGCCACTCTTTCGATGGCTTTACCCCAACTTGAGCTCGTACAAGCAAACAGATTTGGTGCGCCATTTTTTGGGAGGTAGAAAACTCCAGATCCAACTCACAATCAACACATGTCTAACATTAGTTTTTTATTTTTATGCAGTCAAGTACAATGCTCACAATGCCTTAGATGACAGCTTGATGCTCTTTTCCCTTTGGCTCAAGTTCATCTGGCCACTTGCCAAGAACAATCTCGAGCTGCTAGGCAGTGCTTCGGTAAGCAACATTTACTGCGTGGATCGCTATTTGGCAAAAAAGAGCAGCTTTTCTCTGAAGAGCTACTTTGAAACTTTGGTGCGTTCCAAGCTTCCGGTGCCTTTAATTCGTTCAAAACCCCAAATCAAGTTGTACCACACCAAATTGCTCCTAAATCATCTTTACCCAGTGCTTGATGCGCTGTAAATTATAAATTGGCATTTTCAACTGGCTATTTTCGCGCGCATTTTTTTCGGTTAAAATAGCGTCTCGGCAAAATTGAGTGCATGTTTTTATTTGTTTTCATTTGAAAAATCATTTTCCATTTCAAGTTTTTCAGTTTTTTTGCATTGAAGTCTTAGCACCTGGTAATCAACGTTTAAAACCCGTCAGTAAAAATGGCTCAAGGAAAACTGAAAGTCAAAGCCAAACTGCCCGCCAAGGCAAAAGCATCTTCGGTTCATCGAGGCAACTCTAATCTGAAAAAGTCGAGAGGTAATTTAATTTGGAACTTTTATTTGGATATTAATCTGTTAATCATTGTGTTTATGTTTTTGTAGTTTCGAAAAAGAAGGCAAACGCACCATCGTTGCAAATTAAACTTCAAAACGAAGTCACCAAAGAAATTAGAAAAAACATTGAAGAACAAGCCCGAGGAGCGGCAAGCAAGTTTGGTGAAACTACTAAAATGGATAGAAAGAAAAAGTAAACTCGGACTGTTTTGCGTTTTTTGTTTGTATTTTATCATGATGATTCCCATAATGTAACATTTTGTTGCAATAAATGAGTTTGTTTACAATTCCAACACAATTACTTTCTCTGGCAACTTCCACCCGATTCTTTCCCGGAACATTCCTGGATCGGGTGTTTGGAACCAACTTGGAACAGGCCACTCGCCAAGGCAAGTGCACTCAACAAACCCACAGACACAACAAACCATGATCAGATGATTCGGCTCAACATTTTGATGGCAAGTCGGCCCTTCTTTTTGGCATAATTGTCCCAGTTTCAGGCCGAGTAC